ACTTACAATCTGTTAAAATTACACAATATCTACATTTCTTACATTTTGTGGTTTAGGCTCAAAATGTTACATAAAATTTCTCAATTTCTTAAATTGTCCTATGCTATATCCCATGTAGTCTAAATTAAGTAAGGAAAACTCTAGTATTGTACATTAAGTATAATATATTTGCTCCAAAATTTTCCTTTTTCATTTCTATTTTAGGAGTAGATTCATAAATCTCAGATATCACATGTTGGGAGCATTCCATCATTCGGGAGTCACCAGGACAAACATATATCATACTATAGATAGGGAACTTTTCTAAACTAGTATTTATTGAAGTCTTTTATCACTGTGGGAAGGCAATTTCCTATGGGTTTACCACATTTTTGCATATTGTATGAAAGAATCATTGATTACCTGTGTTCTGAACTATTTCTAAAAGATGTTTGTAAAGCAAGCCGTCCTGGAACATAGAAGTGGCATTTCTTTCTGAAGCAAAAGGAGTAATGCTTACTGCCCAATAAAATTTTCATATTCTTTAAATTCAGAATCCTTTTATTGCAATGCATCTGTATCATTAGATCTGCTTCATGCTTCTTGTGGAAATCATGGCTCAGGAAACCTGTGTAGAAGTGCTGATACCCATGCTACTGATATTACTGTAAACAATGAAATGTTCATCTCTGACCTAGGAGCCTAACGTCTTCTACCATCATCCCTTTCACTTTAATTTACAACTAGAAACAACTCATATTCTTCAGATATTCTGATAATACTAGCCATAGGATGAAATGCTAAAAAAGATGTCTTTTTCCTTCTGAAAGAGGAAAGATAAGACACTGCAGATAATTTATGGGATTAGTAGAAGTCTATGGCGATCCTTAGCAAAACTGTGCACTCAATTATATGGTAAACAGGCAATAAATAATGAGGAGGAATAAAGGAGGCCATTTTAGACTAACTATCAGGAAATAAGTAAAGTATAGATTCTAGAATGCTAGAATGCTGTCCTGATCATTGATATTTCCCCTAGAGTAGAAGGACTTCCTTACTAATCTGGAGGCCTGTCTCAGATCTGTAGCATTGTAACAACTAGCACTAAGACTTGTACTTGTTAAGCTTGGGTCTTTATAATAGAAAGGGCCTGCCTCCTTTCAGACAGTAGAGAGACAAACAAAAACACTGAGTGGGAAAGATGGGGAGCTTCATAACCAGAAACCAGATGAGTCATTAGAACCTTGACTGGCTCACCTGGGAAAGGAGGGGCATTGAATTAGTTGACTGCTAAGGAATAATGGTATATTTCATGGTTAAATCTCTTCTTCATTCCATAAAGGCTATTTTAGATTCATTTCTAAGTGACAGTAAAATCTCTCACAGTTTTTTTTTTTAATTTTTTTTTAACTTTTATTTAATGCATATAAATTTCCAAAGTACGACTTATGGATTACAATGGCTTCCCCCCCATACCGTCCCTCCCACCCACAACCCTCCCCTTTCCCACTCCCTCTCCCCTTCCATTCACATCAAGATTCATTTTCGATTATCTTAATATACAGAAGATCAGCTTACTATACATCAAGTATGGATTTCAACAGTTTGCTCCCACACAAACATAAAGTGAAAAATAATAGATGATTTTTTTTTAAATGATGATGAAATCAGAGCAGACCTATTGTCATGTTTAATCCCAGTGAGAGTCAAGTTGGGAATTGATAATTTCTTTTTTTTTTTTTTTTTTTTTTTTACAGAGGATCAGTTTAGTATGCATTAAGTAAGGATTTCAACAGTTTGCACCCCCATAGAAACACAAAGTGAAATATATTGTTTGAGTACTCGTTATAGCATTAAATCTCAATATACAGCACATTAAGGATAGAGATCCTACATGAGGAGTAAGTGCACAGTGACTCCTGTTGTTGACTTTACCAATTGACACTCCTGTCTATGGCATCAGTAATCTCCCTATGCTCCAGTCATGAGTTTCCAAGGCTATGGAAGCCCTCTGAGTTCTCCGACTCTTATCTTGTTTAGACAAGGTCATAGTCAAAGTGGAGGTTCTCTCCTCCCTTCAGAGAAAGGTACCTCCTTCTTTGATGACCTGTTCTTTCCACTGGGATCTCACTCGCAGAGATCTTTTGCCAGAGTGTCTTGGCTTTCCATGCCTGAAATACTCTCATGAGCTTTTCAGCCAGCTCCGAATGCCTTTAGGGCTGATTCTGAGGCCAGAGTGCTATTTAGGACATCTGCCATTCTATGAGTCTGCTGAGTATCTCACTTCCCATGTTAGACCACTCTCCCCTTTATTTACTCCATTGGTTAGCGTTAGCAGGTACTAGACTTGTCTATGTGCTCCCTTTGACTCCCAGTCCCTCCACCATGACCAACTGTGAACTGAAACTGATCACCTGGAACAGTGAGATGGCATTGGTACATGCCACCTCGATGGGATTGAATTGGAATCCCCTGGTATGCTTCCAACTCCACCACTTGGGGCAAGTCAGCCTGAGCATGTCCCAAATTATACATCTCTTCCCTCTCCCATTCCCACTCCCATGTTCAACAGGGATCACATTTCAGTTAATTTTTAATACTTAATAATAACTGTGCATCAATTACAGAACTAAACCAGTCATATTAAGTAGAACAGATAAAAAAACTACTAAGAGGGATAATGTATTAAGTTGTTCATTAACAGTCAGGGCTATGCTGATCAAGCCACCGTTTCCCATAGTGTCCACTTCACTCCAACAGGTTTCCCTCTTGGTGTTCAGTCAGTCGTCACCGATCAGGGAGAACATATGGTATTTGTCCCTTTGGGACTGGCTTATTTCACTCAGCATGATACAAGTGAGTCCTTGCTGCTATAAAGGAGTTGTAATCCTCTTGTTGAGATTTTCCTGAGAGACAAATGATAGATGAAGCGTTTCCCCCCATATTGAAAAACACTGCCTCCTAGACAATGAAAAAGAAACCTATATAAATTCTCAAGGGCTCTGGAAGTAAGTAAAAAAACCACCAAAAAACTCCTATCCCTAATTGTAAAATTACTGAGATATTATATACAGAGTGGAGGAGGCTAAGGCCTTAGATTAGGGTAGATTCATTAAAGAAAATCATCACTGTGTAAGCCTTAGATTAGGGTAGATTCATTAAAGAAAATCATCACTGTGTAAGCCAACACTGAGTCAGCTTTAGATTGTAGAAACCATGCCCCAGAAGAAAGAGGAATGTGACTGTAATTTCTGAGTCAACAATTTCCCAAGAATGAAAGAGAGGATGTCATCCATGAGAATAGTACTCCCAATATGGAGTATTGTCCAGAAAAAATATTCAAAGTTAGTTTTTTCATGCCATGAGTGGCTGCCATATTACTTGAAACTGAAGGTACATATGAAGCCTTCCTCATACCCTGCTCTCTCATTCTTCTCTGCCCCTTCTCTGTGATCTCAGATAATTTAAACAGAAACATGAAGCCAAATTATCCCTATCCCCAAAGGTCATCAAAGGACAGATGCACACATCCAGGTATATTGACTTTAGGGAGGTGACAAGTAGAACTTTTAGAATATGTTGGATATGGACACCCAAGTCACCTTTAGAAAAAGATCATTTTAAGCACCATGAACCATGGTAAAGGTGAACTAATGTGATCTTGTGGATGACATCTTTTGGATCCATTCAGTGAACTGTTACTTCTACTGTTTTTCTGATTGCATAGTAGGAATTGTGTTGTACACACACACACACACACACACACACACATATATATATATATACTTTGTCATCTATTACATGCCTGAGAAGATTATCAAACTGGAAAAGGCCACATGCTAATGGAACATTTAAATCACTTTCTAGTCTTCCTCTCTATGTTTTCCCAGTTGGTCCAAAGGAAATAGCTTGAAATCCCAGGAGGTAAAAAGGAAATCATAGATTTGAAGTTAACATAGGTAGTAATAAATATGATACCTAATGCAACTACACTGAATGGCCAGTGAAAAAGATTAATAAAAATTGGAATCTTAGGATGGATTATCACCAACTAAATCCAGTTGTTAAATCCAAAGCCTCAGTTGTTCATGTTACTGAATCCATTGGATAGACTAAATTCTTGACATGCTATCTTAAACTGTGCTAATGCCATATTTTCTATTCTATTAGCTTCTGAGGACAAAGAGCAAGTTACCTTGGTGACCACCAGTACACGTTTGCAGTAACCCCTCAAATTACTAGAAGATAACACCAAGGGTATCTAAAATCCCTCTTCCATTTGCCATCAGCAGTAGGTGCTATAATGAGACAGCTTTAAGGACAGAGGTAATGTCCTGTTGAAAAGCATCTCAGAAATCTCCATTGCCATGGCATTGACTATGGTGTTATCACACTTCTATCAACTACAGGAACTGACAACCCCAGACAAAATTCAGACCTCTGTTCATCAAATAGTATTGTGTGGCTATATGGGCAGAGTCATAATGTTTTATCCATCTAGTAGTCAAATAAACTTGCTATTCATTCTCAATTACTTCTTACTGAATCAGCATCTAGCTTTTGGGGATGGAATATGCTTTGTTTGGAAATTCTACTTGGATCTTTTTATTAAATAATTTTAAAAAATCAGCATCCACTGAGTGAGGTACAAACTAACTCACTGTTAGAAGTTATCCAAGGGCCGGTGCTATGACACAGTGTGTAAAGCTGCTGCCTGCAGTAATGGCATCCCATATAGGTACTGGTTCAAGTCCCGGCTGCTCCACTTCCGATCTAGTTCTCTGCTATGGCCTGGGAAAGCACAGAAGATGGCCCAAGTCCCTGGGCCCCTGCACCCGTGTGGGAGACCTGAAAGAAGTTCCAGGCTCCTGGCTTCAACCTGGCCCAATCCTGGCCACTGCAGCCATCTAGGGAGTGAACCAGCAGGTGGAAGACTTCTCTCTCTCTGTCTCTCTCTCTCTGTCTCTCTCTCTCTGTCTCTCTCTCTCTCTCTCACTCTCCCACCCTCCCTCCCTGCCTCTATCTCTATAACTCTGTCTTTCAAATTAAAAAAAAAAAAGTTATTCAATAGGCTATGGACTGCTATCTACATTTGGGGCCCCTCATGCCTAAATAATCTGTGAGCTACAAGTCTGTGGACAATGATTTTTCTCTTTTAAGTCTCTGGAAAAGATAAGCAGCCTCAACTTGTAGACACCCTCTAGGTTTTAGACTGGTCACCTGCCCTGCATGCAAGATACACTCCTATCAGGTATGTCCCTATTGAAAAATGGCTATTAGCTTGCTACAGGGCCCTTGTCAAAACTGAACTCTTGGCCTATAGAGGCCTTGCAGCTGTCATTTTGGGATGGGTCAAGACAGAGTTAATGACTAGCAAGGTGAGAGAGTATCTTATGAACTTTGCTTACAAAATGGAAATAGTATATTCAAGCCCACAGTTCCCAGCTCTCCAGTGTCATCTCAGATTTACATGAAAAAATGACTGTCTCAAACTGCTGCAGGGGCCTTAAGTTTGACCATCCGCTACATCTGCCATCCCGAAACAGCTCTGATCATGAATGCATCTGTAGTTCCCTTGATCACAACAAAAAATGCATTGTAAATAGCAGGTGATGGTCCCAACTTCTGAATTCCCAAGCACAGTACCTAATAACACCTCTGGATGTCTTTTCCACTCCTGTGGAAAAGTGGCTCTGTAGCCACTTCTTAATCACCCAGTGGGAGAAGAAAAATGTCACCAGCCTATGAGTGGACAAAGGAGACACATTGGATTGGCAGCTTTGATGCAGTCCTTTCAAAGCAAGGAAGCACAACTAACAGCCATATTTCTTGTAACTCATCTCTTACCAAAGGTTTTCCTATTTCCCCCAATGATATACAATTATATTGTTTTATCTAGCTACATCACTGTCTAGATATAAAACATGTTGTAAATATAAAGTAGTATAGAATCCATAAAACAAAGCCAACAACTTATGAGTCAGATTTTCCCCTTAGAGATAAAAATCTAACACTTTTGTCTTCTTGGAAAATAAACAATGAAACTAAATGAATCAGACTCTTCACATGTATGAGTTATTCCTGTAGCATCATTCAGACACCTTCCAAAGCTGTTTTGGGCCATTATTTTTATAATAAAAATATTAATAATTTCAGCTATTATGAAAATACATATTCAGTCCTTGTTCTAGCTTGGATGGCATGTAATGTTAAAATGTGGCTCTATAATTTTTCTCAATTTAATTTGTGACTATACATTTTATCATCCCAGCTCTAAGTCATTTTCCTTCTCTATCACTCAGTTGTAACTACATAATAAATGTGCATTATCAGAATGAATATGATACAAAGATTTTAAATTACCTTGTAAGTTTATTTCTATGTTCTTAAAGTAGTCTGTAAATTGTCTTTCCATCTTCTTAAAAAGGCAGAGAGAGATAGAAGGACAGCTCTTCCATCTGCTCGTTCACTCCCCCAAATGACTGCAATGGCCAGCTCTGGACCAGGCTGAAGCCAGGAACCTGGAACTAATAGAGCCATCACCTGTTGCCTCTCAGGGTGCAGATTAGCGGGAAACAGGAATGGACAAAGGAGCCAAGACTCAAACCTAGGCACTCCAGTATGGGGTGCAGACATCCCAAGAAGCATCTTGTAACCACTGCATCAAATACCCATCCAGGGAAAATGGTTCATAAGCTTCACCCCTCCCTGTGAATGTTCCTTGAATATACAGAGTTTTCAAAAGACAGTCGTGGCATTTCAAATGTATGTTCAATGTTCATAAGTTGTTTCTGGTTTTTTTGTTTTGGGTTTTTTATTTGTTTGTTTTTTTAGAAAATTATCCTATAACCTATAAGGACTGACTTGACAATTGGGTTCATTAGTATGGGACTCTCTATATTTGTTATACTAATTAGTACCTGCATTATTTAAAAAAATCTTTGGAATTAATATAGGATGCTATAGAAATAAATGCTTTTTAAAGTTAACTAGGTTACTTTTGTGTCAAGCCTTAGTATGGTCATTTTATTTTTCTCTAGCAGTAACATGGTGGCTGTCATAGGTTAAAGGCAGCTGGTATCTCATGGCTTTTTCCTGTTTTTTTCTTATCTGTCTCTCCAGTAAATTCTGAGCTGTTTGAGAGCCTATATTATATTCACTCATGCATCCATGGCCATCACTTGAGCTCTTGCCATGTAGTAGGACTTCAGTAAATAAGGCTGAAAAGCACTCCAAAGAAATTGGGTCATAGGAGCCTTGGGGATGTATTTCTTCTTTCAGCCAAATTTGCATCTTAATTGATTGAAAGAAGGCCAATTCCTAAGACAAGTTTTCCTCCTCAGCTTTTGAACTAGTCACCCAGGAGTCTGAGATCACATATTCCCCCAACTTCCACCAAATCAGGCATACAAAGATGATGCACTGTTGTTTTAGCTAGTGTAACTGAGATACCAATCTATATCACTAGGTTACTCTTTCTAGGAGAGGTGACACTAATGAGCCACCTTCACCATCAGTGTCTTAGAAAATTTATTTTAACAAGTAATGATGATGGCTCTTCATTAGTCGTTCACTTTCATTGATCCCTCTGGCCATCAGTGAAGAGAAAGCTAAAAGTGCCAGGGCTTTCAACATGGACTTGGACCCTTGTGAAAAAAATTTATTCCCCTTGTCTATCATAGACTACACAGTCTATGAAAACAAATAAATAAATAATATATGAATGCCCAAATTTTCTCTGTGGTGACATAAAGATTGAGTAAGCACAGAGATGAAAATATAAGTAACTATAAGTTCATTTCCACTGCTTTGCTTTGCTTATAAAAAAACACAATCTGTTTTTTAATATTTTCAGACAACTGTCCATAAAGTTAAAATGGAACTGTTCATGACATACTATTACCATAAAACAAAAACTTATATTGTTTGAGTGAAGAATTTATAAGGAAAATTTTGCAAAAATGTTATTAGGTGGAATACTTACAGTTTAATATTAAAAGTATGTCCCAAGCTTTAATCTGAAAGTGGCGAAGGGTGAGCAGAAACACTGGGCTGGTTACTTTCAACTATGATGGCTACAAGACAAAATAATAAGATGCTCCCTGAATATACACAGGCCCTTTATTTTGTTTCATTTCTGGTTTTCTTCACTACTAAAGCCGATTTCTCCCTTATTACCATCATATAATAAAATAAGGAAGAAAAACTGGCTTTTCTTTTATAGAAAGTTAGATACAGCATAGTCAGGACAGCTGGTTTATCTCTATTAAGTACACAATAGTATGCCAACTAATTTGTAAAATGATATAAATGAAATACTCTATATTTCTCAATGATATTTAAGTTTTGTGATTCCTTCTATTAAGAATACCAATGCTGTGTTTGTCACTAAATGAATAAAAGAATATTTCACAAGTCTGCCATATGTAAAATCAAATAATTTAAAGGTGTCTTTCTGTAGGAGTTTTAATTGTATTAAATCATCTTGATAGTTTTGATTAGTTCATTTTGCATATTTGTTCCTTGAAAATGATTTTTGCTAAATATTCCTTCTTTTATAGAATGAAGATAGAAATAGAACATTTGTGAACATTTATGTAATAATTTGAAACATGAAAGAGCAACTTGAGGACAACTGTGAATTTACAAAATTTGCATTATATAATATATAAGCTGTGCATTTATAAATAAAAATGCAAATAACCACAGTTCATTAATTCATCAACCAGTGTAAACAAATATATACTACTATTAAGCTATGAGAATACTGTGTTTATCTCGTGACAGATTCATTTTGGCTTCTAAGACACCAAAGTACTTTATCTGATACTGTGATCTGAGGTGCTTTTCTTCTTTCAAGGTTTTGGTTTCAAACATTTGTAAAACTTCATTTTGTTTAATTAGTCAGGTAGACTGCATAAAATAATCTGCCTGTGATCCCTAGGTTGTGTTGAAAAAAATCAACCACTGTTTAAGAAAAAAAGTTGTATTTTTATTCCTGTAATTAAAGAAGAATTTCTCAAAATCCAAGTTAGGAAACAGCTGTTACCACAAATGCCAAAATAATAGAACATCCATTGAGTTAATCCTCACTTGAATAAAGAATTTGAGTATCTATAGATTTTATTCTTTCCATTTATCTCTCTGTTCTTGATGCTTTTTCTTCCTCAATTCTTCTCTCTCTTTCCACCACACACACAAAGTGAAAATAATTGCCCATGAAAATATTCAACTAATGACAACTTGTCAATGAGATAATTTACATAATTTCCACAATTTAAAATTCCTCTTTTTCTTTACTATTGAAAATACTTAGGTTAGACTTATCTTTTAGTAGTATGTAATTATGAGCAATATAAGACAGGCTTTAATATTTCTATAAATATGCCATTCCAGTATTGGAATACCTTTTACCCCATGTGTTGCACATAATTGTTTCACATAATCTTATTGATAACAATAGCATTCAATACAGAAATATTTTATCTCATCTCACTAAGAATGTTTACATGAATTTCATTCATAATTTATAGCAGATTATTTTCATTCTTATAGCTATTTCTGAGGTCATTTTAATATTTCCAAAATTAATTAGAATTATGTTATGATGCACTTCCTTGAACTGATCATTCACAAAATTATGAACAATAAATGATCACAGTCAGCATTACACCTTACTTTCTCTTTTATTCAACTGGGTTGTATCTTTTCCAAGACTGATTCAGTATTATTATACATACTGTGCATGCTAATCATCCCACTGTTATTAAAGAATAGATATATTTAGAGAAAAAAATAAATAATCTTTTCATTCAGCTCTTAACTTACCTACTAAACACCTACAAAGCCACATGTGACTATTTGAAGTAATTGCAAGTTTAAATACATAGTTCAAATCTCTTAGTAAAACATTATATTTAACAAACCAACATTTCCAAAATAGAAACCCAACAATAAAGTCATTATTCTTAACCCCTCCTAACCCTTGATGCAGCTGTCTACATTTATGTGAAACTTTCCCCTTGTCATTGTTTTTTGCCTATGTCTATACAAGAAAAGAGAATGCCCTGGATACGGCTTGATAGTAACAAAACAGGCAAAGAAATTTCTGACATTGGAGAAAGTGAGACTTTAAGACACTTCCCATTAAAAAAACAAAAACAAAAACAAAATCCTAGATTATTACTCAACTTTCCCTTCCTGCTTGTGTAGGGTGAGGATGCATCTCTCTCTCTCTCAACCAGCTACAAGAGTAAGAATAACAATTTAATTCTTAGTGACCTGAATGTTTATAAGAATAAAATAATAAAACATCAGGAATTTTTGTTCACACATGCATACCTAAACGTGGCATCTTTTAAAGTTTCTGACATTTATTTCTATATAGTCTTACCTGTATTGCTTGGAACACAAGCCCTATGACCAAGGATTCTATAAAGTAACATGTCATGCCAAAATCAGTGCATTTTTATATTTTATCTTAAAAATGAAATCATAAACCATGTAGGATTATTTTCAATTTTTAAGATTTCAATACAAGGGGTACAAATTTTAATATTAAAATGCTCCCTCTCTATGGTCATTCACTTCCTCGGTACCCTTGGCCATATTCATTCACTGAACACAACTCCCTATTTCCTTTCAAACAAATGAGAAATAGTAAGACGGTAAACATGGTTTCAGAGGAAAGGTTGCCGTCTTAAGGAAACTTCTACAGAAATCCTGTCTCCAGGCAAAGACTCTACACAAGACCAGAGCACCCAGATAGCGCCTGGAGCTTCTTGGTGCAGTGTTTCCTAATCCTTCCACATCCCTTTCTTAGCCACTAAACCTAAAGAAAAACACGGGCTTTGGCTTATTGCAGTGTCGAAGAAGATTTAAAGGAGTAAGTTTGGTGCCACTCTCCTCTTCAGGAAAAAGCTTTTTATCCTCAAGAGTCGCTGAGCTTTGGGTAGGTATGTTGCAGAAGGGAATTTACCAGGCAGGTGCTCCTTTCTCAACCTGGGACTAAGACCAATCTCGGAGGACGAGGTAACATGAGGGCATTCTGTCCCCCACTAACTAAGACGCCTGTATATGAATAGAAGGAATCTATGCAGTGCAAACAGTTGTGTGCTTTAAAACAATAATGACAAAAAGTTTAGTCGCAAAGAGATTGTTTTTGTCTTTCTTTTTTCAAGCTTAAACATATCCACAACAACCCAGGTGCTAAGAAACACGGTAACTATACGCTAGCCAGGACCACAGAGCGGCTATGTCAATTTCTTGAGGTAGCTTAGTGTCCAGGGATGAGGTCAGGATTCCCCGAGAGGACCACGCTGGAGCCAGGCTTTGGGGAATGAGGCAAGGTGGGTCAGGGGCGGACTTTGGGCAGGCTTTGTCAGTGCGAGATCGGGTGAAGGGCGGCTTCGCGCGCTGCCAGAAGAGGGAAGTCAGAGGAGGAGACTTGGGAGGTGGCGAGGGCAGAGATGACCCTGTTTGGAGACACTGCTCCTGCCACTGTGGAAGCCCCGGTAGCTGGAAAGGAGAGGGTTCAGGTGGCCAGCAGGTGGAGTTAAAAGCAAACATCCCCTCGGGGACCACAGAGTGCACCCTCCCGAGACCTTCTGCCTCGAGGTTGGAGAATCACAGCAGGTGGTTTGCGTTTCCTCCCAAATCAAAAGATGCTCCTTGGGTGCCAAGCCCTAGTTCCGGAGCCCCGGGGCTCCGCTTTCTACTCACCAGTGCTGAGGGGAACGCGCCATCCGGGGAGCGCGGGAGGGTTGCGCGCCGCAGGCGGCAGGCAGGGCCCGGCGGCGGTGGCGGCGCTATCCTAGGAGCGAGACTGAAGTCGAGGGACGCCGAGGCAGCAAGAGTGGCGGCCGGGGCGCAGCGAGCCGCGGGCAGGGAGAGCGCTGCGTCCGGAGCTGCTGCGCCGCGCGCGCGCTCTGCCCATCGCCGGCTGTGCTGGAGCGGCTACGGCTGCTGCCGCCCGAGCTGAGGGAGGCGAGGGGGAGGGGAGGAGACACGCGGTAGGAAGGGAGGGGAGCCAGAGAGGGAGCGAGGAGAAGAGCGAGGGGGAGAGGGGAGATGATCACCCGGAGTTGGGAAAGGATAAGGGGGCGCACACGAGCCCGGCAAAGGTTCCCACTCGAGACGCTCGTGGAGGGGGAAATCGAGAATGAGGCGATGAATCTCCCCCGCCCCCACCTACCCACCCTCCTGCTCCCTTCGCGCCCTTTCTTTGGGCTGTTCCTCCCCGGGCTCAGGCTGGGGGATGCCCAGGCTCGCCGCAGCCGGGGCTCCAGCGCCCTAGTGGGAATGCCGAGCCCGGCAGGCAGCCGCGACAGCTCTCCGCGCCGCTGGCCTGTGGCACCTGTGCGCGCACACAACGCCGCTCTCTCCATTGCGGCGGCTCCCACAAGCGATCTGCGGGCTTCCGCCCTCGCTCTCTCCCCTTTCTGGTTAGATTATGATCATGTTTGTGCATCCATGACATCTGTGTAGCTCCCCATCGCTGTTTGTTTCCCTGGGGCTGTTTGGCACCGGCTGTCCGGCCAGAAGGTGCTGGCGGGGAGCTTCAATGCAGGCAACCATCGCCCCTAGGAGCTGTTGCCTGGACAGGAGTGGCTGTTTGTTTGCCACCGGGGTTGACCAGCTAAGGAGGTAAATTGGGCTCATTTGCCTCTGACTCTGATCTCAGTGATCCAGGGAGGTTGTAAGTGTGAAGGGCATGGTGCTTGGTTCCCCTCCTCCCTTTTCCCAACATCTTAAAAAGAGGGGGTGGAGGGGCACGACTCAGCCGTTTAACCGAAATATTTCTCGATCTCATTATTGCGGAGTTTTTCATTTTCCTTAGGGTTTTCCTAGGAGTGGATTGTGTTTGCTCTCTTGGGTTGTAAATCAGTCTTGCATATTCACAATGACTCACAGTGGAATAGATGTTGTACTTAGCGCCCTTTCTACTCAGGAGATCCAGGGAGTGAATTCAAACATTCAGTAAATATAAAAACAATCGGGACATTATTGACTGATTTCCATGAACCATAATTTTGTTTCACAATCTTCACGTGGTAGTTCGGGACAGGCAGGAGACAAGTAGAGTCTATGTAAAAGATATGACTAGAAAAAAAAAAAAAAGAAGTCTAGTGTAACTCTCCTCGAATAACTGAATGCATAAGGTGATCCAGTTACTCCCCGTCAGCACGCTGGAAGGAAAAGGGTTCTGATTTTTGTTTTTGTTGTTCTGTTTAAAAATTGAAGTAATCGTTCAGTTAGTGAAGCGTCAGTTCTTCAAAAAGTCCTAAGATTCTTAGTCTCTAGAAGAAATAAATTAGGCATTGTAGCTTACATAATCGTGTCTTACATAACAAATGCACTCAGTAAAATAAGTGCACTCTCGATTGTAAGCGCAGTGTGAAAAGACACTTTCAATGCAATAAATGATATCCAAATGTTGATGAATAGCCTCTAGATCTTCCCGTATGCACTCACATGAGAACAAAAGCGCTAGTGAGAAAGCACCATTTGATGGTCTGGGGATTCTAGTTTGCCAGACTCTTTCCTATTGACTCTTTCTCCTAACAGAAAGGTTTGGTTTCACAACTACCTAATGCCCCGAATGACAGGAACAACTTCCAATAAGGAAACAACAGAATTAAACTCTCCCAGTACAGCTCAGCTTTAAAAGGCCAGTGTTACTGGCTCCAGAGGTCCAGTGGTGCACACGCAAATTCACCAGCTATTATTCTTTCCAAGAAGACTATAGAAGTAAAATGGTTGGTGGAGACCTGCAGATCATTTCAGCTGCCTGAGTCTTTTCAATGGTGTGTGTGTAACAGGTGAACAGTAAATTTTACAAATGTGAGAGGCAACTTGGGCAGGAGGGTGGTTACCAAAGGTTAATTAAATCTCAACTTTTCTCATCCCTGATTAGAATATTTCTCATCCATGCCTTCCTAAAGTAATTCACCTTTGAGAATTTTTATTATATTCTTCCTATATTTGATTATGCAGCTGTAATAACCATACCTGTGTAGTCCCATTTTATGGCCAAAGTGATGTATAAAAAACGCAAACTAGAATCCCTTAAAGTCAGGCAAACAGAAAGGATAACAGTTACAGCAAAGCAAGACAAGCTTCCAACTCCTCACTCCATTTACCTCCCGGACCACTTGGCCCACCAGAGACAAGAACGGGATGATAAAAGATGGAATGACATTCTAATTTTCCTGCTGGAGGATTCGGATTTCAATTTAGATGCTCAGGCTGGGTGAAAACGTTCCTGTCACCTCTGCCACAGCATTCTCTTCATTTTACGTGCCTTGCCCCTTCTGCGTCTCAGTACATGTCACATTGTGTTATGCATCACAACATGGGAAGCCAAAAGTAAATTCATTAATGAAATAAAAGCTTTGTTTTAAATATTGTCCTTCTGAATTTACTTAGTTAAAAACAAATTCTCACACTGATATTTTCTGACATCAGAAAGATTCAAATTCTATATTTGAATAATTACAGCATAAATGCCAAATAATAGTTAGGAAAAGAAATACCATGCCTTTATTTAGTGAATGCATATTTTATGAACACAGCCTATGGCCAGGCATCACGTTAGGTTCCAGGGATGATACAACAAGAAAATAGTTGTCTGTGCCTTTGTAAGGCTTAGTAGGTCACTATCCAATAATAAAGATCAGTGATAATAATGCTCATGATGATGATTGCAAGCCCCCAAAAGAAATATAATTAAATTGTTAAAATAAGAGGATTAAGAAAAATGAAGACAGCATCAGCCTCTATTATAGTCACTTTTTATGTGAACTGTTGAAAAACAGCAAGATTGCGGCCGGCGCCACAGCTCACTAGGCTAATCCTCCGCCTTGCAGTGTCGGCACACCGGGTTCTAGTCCCGGTCAGGGCGCCGGATTCTGTCTCGGTTGCCCCTCTTCCAGTCCAGCTCTCTGCTGTGGCCCGGGAGTGCAGTGGAGGATGGCCCAAGTGCTTGGGCCCTGCACCCCATGGGAGACCAGGAGAAGCACCTGGCTCCAGCATGGTGCGCTGGCCGCAGCGCGCTGGCCGCTGCGGCCATTGGAGGGTGAACCAATGGCAAAGGAAGACCTTTTCTCTCTCTCTCTCACTGTCCACTCTGCCTGTTAAGAAAGAAAGAAAGAAAGAAAGAAAGAAAGAAAGAAAGAAAGAAAGAAAGAAAGATCGGTCGGTCAGCAAAGAAAGCCACATTTGTTCCAGCGTAAGGAAATAATCATTATTTATTAGGTTAGGGAAAATTTTGCTAACCCTTAACTTTTAAAAGTAAATATCTTGGGTAGCATTGTGACACAGCAGGTTATATTGCCACTGCAACACAGGCATTCTACTTTAAAGCACTTGGCTCAGGTCTCAGCTGCTGCACTTCTGATCCAACTCCCTACTAATGTACCTCAGAAAGCAGTGGAAGACGGTCTAAGTGTCTGGGCCCCAGCACCCACGTAGGAGACCTGCATGGACTTCTAGTCTTCTGGTTTTAGCCTAGCCTAGCCCTGGCCATTGCAGCCATTTGGGGAGTGAATGAGCAGATGGAAGATTACTTTCTTTCTCTGTCTCTTCCTGTCACTCTGGGGAGAAATATAGAATAATAAATGTATTTGAGGTTTTAGAGATTTATTAAAAATATACATAATGTAATAACTAGTACTCAAACAGTATTTTTCACTTTATGTTTCTGTGTGGGAGCTAACTGTTGAAATCTTTACTTAATGTATGCTAAACTGATCTTCTGTATATAAAGAGAATCGAAAATGAATCTTGATGTGAATGGAAGGGGAGAGGGAGTGGGAAAGGGGAGGATTGCGGGTGGGAGGGACATTATGGGGGGGAAGCCATTGTAATCCATAAGCTGTACTTTGGAAATTTATATTCATTAAATAAAAGTTAAAAACACACACACACAAATATACATAATGTGATTAGCACTGCTGAATATATGGATTAATTTTGGCAAGAAATTTATCAAAAATTATCAGCTTTCCTTTTGTCCTCCTAAGGAACACACAAAGGAATCAAGAAGAGTTAAGAAGAAAGGACCCTACAAATTCCATTTTCAGCAAATGTGCAATTTCTAAAGTACCTCTCTGAGATACCAAAACTTTGGAGGTCAATGAGAAGTCTCAGACGAGAAAGTAGTAGGAAGGGCAGAGCATGGGCCCAATGATATCTAGTCTTGGAATGGACCAATACAAGTGACAAGAGTCACTTGGATTTGAAAATTTTATTTTCCTTGGTTGCAACAATGAATTCAGAAAGTGGAATTGGGTGTAGCTGCAAAAGTAGGAAGAATGGAAGAAGCATATTTTGTGTAGAGAGAACTGAGTTGTGGCTTTTTCACAAACCCTAAGAAAATACAATTTTATAAGGCAAGTTACTCTGATTGACTTGTGAAACTCATATTTCTTTTTGTGGCATTAAGTGTGGGGACTATAAGGAGTACAGCTGAAGACAGAAGTCCACCTGAATGTTTCCTATGGGCAGTGATAGAGGGTACACTAAGATGAGACAGAAAAGTGAGGTTTGTGGAAGACCATCCAGCTCTGTATCAACAGTGAAGACAGAACCTTTGTAATTCCCAGAAGGCTGTTTTCACCCTCTCCTTTTCCTAGTAAAACCAGATGAGAAAAATTTAACTCAGTTGTAATTGAAAAAAGAATTGACACAGTGTCACTACAAAAATAATACAGAAAAAAAGGCTAGAAAAGTAGCAAAATGCATCAGTTGTTGAAATACTCACACCATAACAATGTTGCCATAGAGAAGTTGACAAATTTGTTCTAACATTCTGTCATAAATTTTCATAAAGGCACACTGAAGGAACCGTTTATATGAAGGAAAACCACAAGAAAAATTGCATGATGTTGGGGAAGGATGATGAGACAACATGAGCTGATGACACAGCTGACAAAACTCAGGAAAGAAATGGAAATAAAATGTCACCACCTCAAATTTAAGAATGAAAATGAAAGAATTTATCAAGATAAAATAGACACAGAGAGGAAAAGAAAAGGCAAACATTAGAGGGGCCAAGTACCTTGGAAACAAAGTAGAAGATAAGTAGGATTAGAGAGAATATAAAAGATGAAGAAGACAGACAAAATGAATGTTAAAATATATGATTTAAAAAAGAAAGATTCTTGAAAAAAATGTTTGAAAGGAAATAATGATTATTAGGGAAAATTCCCCCCAAATCATCAACAGTAGCATGTGTCCTAGTACAGTAATTAAATATAAATACTAAAAAGAATTTTTGGATCATATGGGCAAAAACAATCACTAAGTTGTATAGTCCTGATAGAATTCTTCAATGCAACATTCATAGTGGAATAGTGGCATTCGATAACAGAGCAAAGCCTAAAAGAACCAATGAAAACAGTTTGAGAGCTATGTTTTATTTTTTTTTTTGTC